ACCACCAAAAGGTACGCAGCATTGAGGCGACGAGGGGCGTTCGGGTTCTTCCGGTGGAAGTCGGCTATGAGGGCCGGCGCATTGGCAACATTGCGCGCTGGTTCCCATGACGTATGCGAGTCGTCATAACCCTTCCACTTGACGAGGTACTGCAGCTGACGCCGGAAGATTCTCGAATCTTTGATCCGCTCAACCTCGTACTCCTCGTCGCCCTCAACCTCAATGGCAGGCGGCTCCTCCGGCTCCCGGCCCGGGATATCGCTACGCGTGTACTTGCTTAGCAGGGAGACATGGAACACCGGGTGCACCGGCACCGATTTCGGCAGGACTAGTTCATAATCCAAGTCTCCGAGCTTTCGCCGCACGGCATAAGGTCCGAGGCGCTTGGGACTGAGCTTCTTGCTCGGCTGTTTCAGCTTAAGGTTCCGGGCATCAAGCCAGACCTTATCCCCCAGCGCAAAGACCGGTGCCTCCTGCACGTGCTTGTTGTAGTACACCTTCATGCGCTCGGCTGACAGCTCAAGCGCAGAGCGCGCATCATCGCGAATCTCCTTCAGGATCTTAAGGCGGTCGGCGGCGGCAGGCATTGCGGACATCGGATTGATCCGAACCTGGATCTCAGGATTGTACCCCTGATGCAGGAAGAAAGGGGAGTGCCCGGTCATGGAGTGAACTCAGTTGTTCAGTGCAAACTCCGCGAGCGGCAACTGCTTTGCCCAATCGTCCTGCCTATGGCTTGTGAAAGCACGCAGGTACTGCTCAATTTCCTGATTCCAGTGCTCGGTCTGGCCGTCCGTCTGAGGGTGGAACACCGTGGACAGCGCCGGCTCAATCCCTAGTCCCTTGTACACTGCATGGAGATACTTTGACGTGAACTGGGGACCTCGGTCTGATATGACCTTGGCCGGGGCCCCATGATGCTTGAACACATCGCAGATGTACAGGTCTGCCGCACCTTCTGCCGTCAGGGTCTCATGACAGGCCGAGAAGTGGACCTGCTTGGTAAAGCGGTCGACGGTAACCAGGATCGAGTCGAATCCATCAGACTTTGGCAAACCGACGATCATATCGGTTGTGATGATCTGCCACGGGCGCTCGGGGATCTCATTAGGCTTCAGTGGACCCTGGGGCTTGGTGGGGAATGTCTTGGTACGGTTGCACACGTCGCAGGTGCTTACGTACTCATTGACTAATTTAGACATTCCTGGCCACCAATAGTTCCGTGATACGAGCTCCAGGGTTTTGGCACGACCGCCATGACCGGTGATCGGCGAGTCGTGGTGGATCTTGACAATATCCTGCCGGAGCTCTACGTTCTTTGGAACATATACACATCCACGGAACAATAGGAGTCCTTGCTCGGCATTCCACTCCTCCAAACCCCTTTGCAGCCAGGGCGGCCCGAGGTCCTGCACCTTTTCAAGTGCCTCGGCCACTACGCGGTCTTTCTCCGAACATTCCCTGATCCGCTTCAGAAGCGACTGATCGGCTGTCACCGAGGCATGACCGCGCCTAGTGGAGGCGATGCGGAATCTCTCCGGCTTGAGGACCACCTGATCGGTGTTATCATCCTCGTCGCCGACTTGATGATCTGCGCGGTGTGACAGGGCATCAGCCTTTCCATTGGACATCCCGGCCTTGTGCATAATGCGGAAGTCGAAGCACGCTAGGAACAGCGACCATCGTGCTTGATGACGCGTGAGATGCTGGGACGTGCGCCAGTACTCAAGGTTCTTATGATCGGTTACGATCTCGAACTGATTGGGTAACCCCTCAAGATAATGGCGCCAATCATCTAGTGCCTCGATGATCGCAAGCATCTTCTTATCGTAAATCTCGTAGTTACGCTGGGCGGGGTCCATAGCGTGAGACCAGAAGGCGATAGTATGCCATTTGCCGTCGTCCTGCTTCTGCATCAATACGCCGCCAGTGGCATAGCCTGAGGCGTCAACCTCAATGCGTGTCTCCCGGTTAGGGTCGTACAACGCCAACACTGGAGTCATCGCAAAGAGCCGCTTGAGCTCATCGAAGGCATACTGCTCTTCCTCGCCCCAATGCCAGGGGTCATTCCCTGTGAGCCGGTCGAGTGGTCGCGAGATCTT